GGAAGGAGAGGGAATGGAAGGAAGAAAGGAAAGAAAGAAGAGCAGGAGGTCAAGAGAAAAGAAAGGAAATAAGAAAAGAATGAAAGAAGAAAAGAAAAGAGGGGAAAGGAAGGAAGAAAGGAAAGAAAGAAGAAAGAAGAGCAGGAGGTGAAGGAAAAGAAAAGGAAAGAAAAAAGAATGAAAGAAGAAGAAAAGAAGAGGGGGAAGGGAAGGGGAAAGAAAGAGCAGGAGATGAAGGGAAGAAAGGAAAGAAAAAAAGAAAAAATGAAAGAAGAAAAGAAGAGGAAGGAGAGGGAATGGAAGGAAGAAAGGAAAGAAAGAAGAGCAGGAGGTCAAGAGAAAAGAAAGGAAATAAGAAAAGAATGAAAGAAGAAAAGAAAAGAGGGGAAAGGAAGGAAGAAAGGAAAGAAAGAAGAGCAGGAGGTCAAGAGAAAAGAAAGGAAATAAGAAAAGAATGAAAGAAGAAAAGAAAAGAGGGGAAAGGAAGGAAGAAAGGAAAGAAAGAAGAAAGAAGAGCAGGAGGTGAAGGAAAAGAAAAGGAAAGAAAAAAGAATGAAAGAAGAAGAAAAGAAGAAGGGGAAAGGGAGGGAAAAGAAAGAAAGAAAGAAAGAAAGAACAGGCAGTGAAGGGAAGAAAGGAAGGAAAAAAGTAATGAAAGAAGAAAGGAAGAGAGGAAAGGAAGGAAGAAAGGAAAGAAAGAAGAGTAGGAGGTCAAGGAAAAGGAAAGGAAAAAAGAATGAAAGCATGAAAGAAGAGAAGAAGAAGAGGGAAAAGGGGAGGGAAAAGAAAGATTGGCCTAGAATTACCCAGCTGGTTTTTGTGCCTCAGGGGATGCTAGAACTCACGGCCTCCTAGCGATTAGGCCAAAGTCACCCAGCTGGCTTTCACGCCAAAGATGATACTGGTGACTGCTAGTTCTACTTTAGCCACGAAAGTCGGCTGGGTGATTTTGGAGCAAACCCTAGGTGACCACGAGTTCTAGTCCTGCCTTAGGCACTAAAGCCAGCTGGGTGACTTTGGGCCAGTCCCTCCCTCTCAGCCCAGCCTACCTCACAGGGTTGTTGTTGTGGTGGTGATGGGACAAATAGGAGGAGGAAGGAATCCAACGCATGCTCACCACCTTGAGTTATTTATAAAAATATTAAAGATGCAAGCAAACTAAACTGATAAACACAAGAATAACAGGCAATGGATGGGAACGGCATCTGTGTAGTAGGGAAAGAAAGTCACAATACCCCAGCCTATGACGATGTACCACCAGAAGTATTTCTTCTCCGAAAAGAAGGAGATGACCAGAAGGGTGTGGAGATACAAGCCCTCGACCAGAAGCCAGAAGAAATTAGCCATGATGCAGTACTGGAAAAACACCATCGCAGCTTTGCAACCCACCTGCAAAAGGGAAACAAACCAGCCTGGATTAAAGCATTCAAGTTGCAAAGTTGAGTTGACTACTTATTTGGTGTCTAGAAACACACTTTCCCCGATAACTCACGCGGCTCTCAAGCAGCCCTTTGAGGGCAGAGACCCATTTTCTCCACTTGCTCCTAGGCCGTCCTCGGCTTATGACCATAGTCCTCGACGTACGGCAGTTCATTTGGTCATGAGTCAAGGGCACTAAGAAAAGTGATTTTGGGACTGTTTTCCATGCTGGTTGCAGCATCCCCATGGTCACCCGATCAAAATTCAGCCCCTTGAATGGACCAACAGCCATTCATTTAGTGACCGTTGAAGTTACAGAGGCACCAATAAAGTGAGGGCATCAAAGCCATCTGGGTGACTTTGGGCCAATCACCGGGAGACGGTGAGTTCTAGTCCCGCCTTAGGCATGAACGCCATCTGGGTGACTTTGAGCCAATCACTGGGAGAGAGTGAATTCTAGTACTGCCTTAGCTATGAAAGACATCTGGGTGACTTTGGGTCAATCACTAGGAGACGGTAAGTTCTAGTACTGCCTTAACTATGAAAGACATCTAGGTGACTTTCAGCCAATCAATAGAAGAGAGTGAATTCTAGTGTCGCCTTAACTATGAAAGACATCCGAGTGACTTTGGGCCAATCACTAGGAGAGAGTGAGTTCTAGTGCCAACTTTAGCCATGAACGCCATCTGGGTGACTTTGAGCCAGTCAATGGGAGCAAGTGAATTCTAGTACTGCCTTAGCTATGAGAGCCATCTGAGTGACTATGGGTCAATCACTAGGAGAGGGTGAATTCTAGTACTGCCTTAGCTATGAAAGACATCTGGGTGACTTTGGGCCAATCACTAGGAGAGAGTGAATTCTAGTGCCAACTTTAGCCATGAACTCCATCTGGGTGACTTTGAGCCAATCACTNCTTCAACTCCCAGAATTCCTCAGCCGCTTTAAGACCTGTGGACTTCAACTCCCAGAATTCCTCAGCCACTTTAAGATTTGTGGACTTCAACTCCCAGAATTCCTCAGCCAGTTGAAGTCCACAAGCCTTGATAAGTTTGGAGACCCCTATTTTAGACCGTGAAAGAAATCGAAAACCACATAGATATCTTACCAGTATAGAAACCAAGATGGGAGCTTTGATAATCCACCAGTACGGAGATTCGATTACATCCCAGCAACTGAAAAGAAATTCTTAAATTAGATGAAACTTTCTAGGTTTATACTCCGAGGGCGACAGAGGAAGCCAACAAGGGAAAAAAATGACTTTGATTAAAATGACACCAATAAAATACATGAACCAGAATGCCCCAGAAGCCCTCCCAAGTGCAGGCTACACACATAGTCCTCGAGTTATGACCAGAATGGAACCTATAACTTGTGTTGGTCATTAAACGGGTCATCACACAACCGTGGCCACTTCCCCAACCTTTTTCTACATAGCGAACATGCTTGTTAAGTCAATGCTGCATTTGTTCAGAGACTGCTGCTGCAGTCATCATTAAATATTCCCATTGGGCAAGCTTTTACCAGAAATTGGAAATAAGTGGTTTCCAGCAAAAAAAGAAAGAAAAAGAAAAAGTCATAAAATGTGGTTGTGGGAGGCTCAAAATAGCCATAAATGAATATTTTAACCTTTCCACTTTTACTGCACCAATGTTTTATGTTTTTAATATTTTGATTGTATTATGCTGCTGGTTTTTGACATTTTAAGCTGTGCAAAGTTGCTTGATAGTGAGACGGGGACATATAAATGTAATAAAATAATTGAAAAAAGAAAGAAAATGGAGTAAATAAATAAACGGGGGAGCGAGGGAAGGGTGGAGTAGAAGAAAGGAGGAGGAAGAGGGAGGGAAGGCAGGCAGGAAGGAAAAATAGAAGAAAGGAGAAGGAGAAGGGATGGAAGGAAGGAGGGAAGGAGAAAGAAAGAAAAATAAATAAATAAATAAGGCATGAAGAAAAGGAAGATAGAAAAAAGAAAAAAAGAAGAATGATAGAAAAAGGAAGAAACAGAAAAGAAATAAGAAAGAAAGAAGATGGAAAGAAGAAAGGCAGAGAAAAAATAAGAAAGGAGGGAGGGGAGGTGGAAGGAAGGAAGGAAGGAAAGAAGGAAGATAGAAAAAAGAAAAAAGAAAGATGGAAAAAGGAAGAAACAGAAAAGAAAGAAGGAAGAAAGAAGATGGAAAAAAGAAAGGAAGACAGAGAAAAATAAGAAAGGGAGAGGGAGGGGAGGTGGAAGGAAGGAAGGAAAGAAGGAAGGTAGAAAAAAGAAAAAAGGAAGAATGATGGAAAAGGAAGAAAGACAAAAAAAATAAGAAAAAAAGAAGATGGAAAGAAGAAAGGAAGACAGAGAAAAAATAAGAAAGGAGGGAGGGAAGGGAGGCGGAAGGAAGGAAAGAAGGAAGATAGAAAAAAGAAAAAAAGGAGGAATGATGAAAAAGGAAGAAAGAGAAAAGAAAGAAGAAAGAAAGAAGGAAGGAAGACCGAGAAAAGAAAGGAGAAAGAAAAGAGAAAAAAAAGAAAGATGAAAAGAAGGAAGGAGGGAGAGAGGGGATGCAGAAGGAAGGAAGGAAGGAAGGAAGGAAGGAAGGAAGGAAGGAAGGAAGGAAGGAAGTTGATCATGTGGCCACAAGAGGCAGAGGGACTTTAGGATTTGAATCTGGATTATAAGTAGCTTGGGGAAGCCAGCCAGGTTGTAACTCTGAACAGTCATTAAAGAATTGGTTGTAAGTCGAGGACTACCTGCAATAAGTAAATGCAAAATTTCCCCCCTCTCTTCTCCGGTGAACATGGAAGGTCCAGGCCCTCAAATCTTAAGGATCTAAACTCTCCAAAAGGCCATGCTGCTTGAAAAGGCTGTGCCCCACCGACTCCCGACCATTGTTGCAAGCTCAAGGACAGTTGTAAGTCAAGGACTACCCAAACAGCCCCCTTCAAAGCATCGCATGGGCCCTTTCATCTGGATAAAAGCGGAACTGAGATTCATGCTCACCCCGTATTTTCAAAGTAAATCCTTGTGATGGTCCAAGCCAAAATGAACACCATCGGCGCACCTGACAACAGAGAATGAAGGATTTGTCACTGTTTTTAATTGCACAACCTTAAAACGGTGCACAAGGCAGAACAACAAGGGCAGAGAACACACACAATCGGATGTGCTGAATTAGCAGCACAAAGTTATTTTGCTTGCTGGACACCACTTTGAATATTATTATGGGGAAGGCATGCTATTAAATGGCATTTTAAGCTGTCCAGGGCTGCTTGATAGTGAGAAGTGTGGCGTAGAAATTTAATCAAATAAAAAGGGAAGAGAAGAGAAGAGAAGAGAAGAGAAGGGAAGGGAAGGGAAGGGAAGGGAAGGGAAGGGAAAGAAAGAAAGAAAGAAAGAAAGAAAGAAAGAAAGAAAGAAAGAAAGAAAGAAAGAAAGAAAAGAAAGAAAAGAAAGAAAAAAGAGCAGGAGGTGAAGGGAAGAAAGGAAAGAAAAAAGAAATGAAAGAAGAAAAGAGGGGAAAGGAAGGAAGAAAGGAAAGAAAGAAGAAAGAAGAGCAGGAGGTGAAGGAAAAGAAAAGGAAAGAAAAAAGAATGAAAGAAGAAGAAAAGAAGAGGGGGAAGGGAAGGGGAAAGAAAGAGCAGGAGATGAAGGGNCATTCGCAGAGCTGCCAGACGAAGGGAACAGCTAAGGAACAAGGGTCGACTTGGGAGTAAGGCCACAGGTGGACGGTGAATGGCCCCTCCCAGAGTGAATAAAAAAGGAGCGAAAGGGGAGTGGAGTTTGCAGGAGACAATTAGTTCACTTTAATTGGTTCCTGACTCTCTGAGACTCCTTGCCAAGCTCTGCAGAGATCGGCCTGGCAGCTCTCCAAGCCAGATAAGGTCTGTGACTGTAAATCCTCCCTTGAAAGCCTTTGCTGGATGTGAATGAGCAGAATTCACAGCCAATTAATAAAAGGGTTTTTTTTGTCGGAACAAGGAGTTGGCTTCAGGCTCTCGGGAAGCTTCGGTCAGAATACTTGGATTGGATTGGATTTATTACATTTTCTGCACAACTACTTGTTGTGCAGAAGACAAAATCCATGGAGCAACATGGTTATCAATCATCTATTCCTGAGACATTTTTCAGAACAACAGGCAATATGACATAGAGAGAGCTGGCCTTGTACAGACAGTCCTCAACTTATGACCAGCAGTATTCCCAGTTGCTAAGCAAGCCAGCTGTTAAGTGGGTTGCACCTAATCTTAAACCATTTTGTGCCATGGTCATCAAGGAGTCACTACAATTAAGTGAATCTGGCAGTCATTAAGCGAATCCAACTTCCCCCGTCAACTTTGCTAGTCCGAAGCCAGCTGGAAAAATCACCAAGGGGTGATCATATAACCCTGGGACGGTTCAAATGTCTTAAATACATGCTAGTTGCTAAGAGCCCGACTTTTGATCGTGTGACATAAGAGGTGTTGCTATGGTCGTAAGTGTGAGGATAAGTTGCTCTTTTTTTTGAATACCGTTGTAAGTTTGAACAGGCACTAAATGAACAGTTGTAATTCAAGAAATAGGCTGTACCACGTATTTGTCTCTTATACGATTTATCTTTGGGCTCAGTTTCAACTCACGTGACTAACTTAACAACTGTGATGATTCACTTAACAACATTGGTAAGAAAGGTCATAAAACGGGCAAAAATCACTTAACGACTGTCGTGCTTAGCAATTGAAGTTTGAGGTTAGCCACTGAGCCTCTTAAGAGTGTCCCTTATTTACACAGAATCAAACCACAGAGACGACAGGAGGCCATTTCAATATATTCAGATCAGGAGCCTTCAAACCTGGCCACTTTAAGACTTGTGGACTTCAACTCCCAGAATTCCTCAGCCACTTTAAGACTTGTGGACTTCAAATCCCAGAATTCCTCAGCCACTTTAAGACTTGTGGACTTCAACTCCCAGAATTCCTCAGCCGCTTTAAGACTTGTGGACTTCAACTCCCAGAATTCCTCAGCCGCTTTAAGAC